TATTTGATGTTTTGGAGTTAGTCGTAATTAATTTTAGATTTAAGTATTATCTTCTGATTTTGTAATTCTTTAAGACTTGTTTCTAAATTATTAATCTTTTTTTGTTGAGTTTCGCATACCCCTGCCGATGGTAATCAATATATACCTTATTTCAAAATTTCCTGATGAAAACAACCCATGATTCAGTAGGGATATAATTTATATAAATCTTCCTTTCTGAATTGGGGTCATTCTTGTTCTACCTCTTTCTAATAAAGCTAATTCAATTCTGTAACTTGTAAATAGTATATATAATATTGCAATTTTAAAACTAATATTGTCATATTTAATACTAATATGAACTTGTGTAGTATTTACATTTCCGAAGTGGGCTGTCCTTGTCTAATAATTTATTATTGTTATTATATTCTAAAAGAGAAGAAAAATTAAATCTCTAATAGTAGGTAGGCTGTGTCCTCACTATAATACAAAATACAACACTAACTAAACTGTAATAATGATCGAGGCGTGAAAGACTTGGTCCTCGACGTAAAAAAGTTACTATCACATGATCTGTCGATCATTTTTGTTATATTTGCAATTCACAAATTAAAAATCATTGGTACGTATTGGTAAATTTAATTTAATTGACCAACCAAAAATTAACTGACAGACCACCATTTATCATGTAAGAGGAAATCAAATAAAGTGAAAATGCAAAAAGAATGATCCAATAATCATGCATTATGCGAAGAAATTAATTTTTATTAAAAAATTTAAGACTTAGGTTTCGAACAGTCATTGAAAATAAGAGTTCCAAAAAATTAGATTTAAATTGTATTAATCAAAAAAGAAATTATTTAACGCTTTTTAGGTTTAAATGGACTCAAAAAAAAGATCAGCTTTCTATTTATATTTGTTTCTATTTCTATTTATATTTATTACTTGAACAAAAATTAGGCATAAATTAATATCAACATAATAAATATTTTTAAATATTTTGAATTTTTGAAAAGACTTAGCTGCCGCATTAATAGTATAAGCAATTAATTTAACCAATTATAATCATTCAAGAAAAAAGATCTACTTTTTATAAAATGAGTAATTTAAACTATAATATACTAGATCTTTTAACTTAAAAACTAAGCAAAGAAATAGATATATTACACTGCCTAATACTCTGAAAGCAGATAAAATTGTAACTGACCAAAATACTATTGTATAAAAAAATTAATAAAGATATAATGTTAAAGAATTTTAAAGATGCTATTTAAATAAATATCTTACCAAAAGCCAAATAAGAATTATAAGCACCACTATAATCTTGATTTGAAAAATATTTTGAAAAAGTGTTTGATGTGAATAAAATGATTATTAATCCATTTGTAAATATCTATGAAAGAACTAAATTAGTTCTAAACAATTTATAATAATCATCTTTCTTTGTAAAGGCATTGCGATGTTGTTTTTCCTCATGCTCTTTATTTTTTAACTCTTTGATAATATTATTGTATGCAACATTTATATCTTCTTTCTCAATGACATTAATCTTAATGGTTGCTTTATCATCTTCCTCAATTACCAGTGCACCATTCAGATTTCCAGTATTAGTATTATCTCCTTTTGTACCCCATGAAACATCATGAGTATTACAAAAAGCATAAATCATAAGAATATTAACGTAAGAAGGAACAAGTAAAATGTATTGAATTAAGCAGGTGAACATGTGCCATGGTTCACAATAAATAAAGGATGAAAAAAGATATAGCAAATAAGTTAAAGCAGCAGAGATTACTATGTCACAGAATGCTGCATTCTTTAAAGCTTCTTGAATACTTGAAAGGCTCTTAAAATCTATTGGTGGTACTGCTTTAAATACAGTGAGATACATAATGTAAATTGAACAGTAAAGCATAAATGCCATAATAATTGCAAAGAGAGTGTGTATATCAATTTTGTTCCTTGAGGGCAATTACCCATTGAACAAATAAAAATTATTACAATGATTATTAAATATAATGATCGTGTAGCATCTAATAATTTATCTCCATGGCCTTTAAAAGGATCAGTTGCAGGAT